GAAAATTTCGTGTATCATGTTTAAAAAAATTCTTAAAGTTAAAACCATTTCATTAAAAAAAATAAATAAAAAAATTAAACAGCCTCCAAAGAAATTTAGCATCAAGTCAGTATTTCATTAACTTTATTCTTGATATAATCTTAGATTCTTAGGTAAAATTTTATGTATACAAAGAACTTTTTAACTTAGAAGGAACATGATCTACACTTTTATGTTTTAGTTGATGTGGATCCTGTTGGAAACAGACTTGGGTTTCATGATGCCAAGGCCCATACGACAGCAAGAGTTAGAGAGACAGGCTTGGGCCAGCGAATTGGTAGTGGCTCAAGAGGAGGTTGTTGTATCTCCAAGGACAAAGAGGAAAAGGAAACAAAGAAGAAAATGAAACAAGGGATCTATATAAGGAAGAAGACTTCTTTGAGATCATCATCACAAGTATCACAATCATAAGTTTCTTCTTACGCTTAGGGTTTACTTCTTTACTCCTCTTTAATCGCTCTAAGAAATCTTTTGTAAGAAACCCTAGACTAAAACCGCCAAGGATAAGGCGTGTGTATTGCTCTTGTTCTTTCTAGTGGAGTTTGGGATCAAGAGTATCCCACGAGAAGTACCAGCGCGTTGCTGGGAACTCGTTAATTGCTTGTGTTCTTATTTTCTGCAAATTAACACAAACAATCAAATCACTCAGAAGACAATTGAGACAGCTTCCGCAAGTCGAATAACTTAACGAGTGGTATCAGAGCATCCATGGAATTGCTCGGGACAGCTAGAGTTTGCTAGGGAAAGAGATCGGTGTCACAGATCTTACCGGAGAGACGATTTTTGGTGATCTGAGCTGTTGGTCTTCGTAGCAAAGAGACGGATCTGTAACAGACGTGTTACAGAAGGAAGAGACGAAGAAGAAGGGTACAAATCTTGGAGATAATCAAAGGTTTAATTATTGGAGGCCAATTATGTGCAAGAAGTTTCATCAAACAAAGAATCGAGGTTAAAGAAAGAAAAGATAAGATCAAAGAGACATAATCAGAAACAAGATCGAGGCAAGGAGATTACCTTGATCAACTCAAGTGTTTTTTGATAAGTTTTGTGAATCTTTAAGGCTTTCTTCTATGTTAT